AGAAACAATCTGATTTAAAAATGAGCAGAGAATCTGAGTAGACATTTTCCAAAGATATAAAGATAGCTGACAAGTACATGAAAATAGTCAACATCAGTAATCGTGAAGGGAATGCAAATCAACACAATAAGGTATCATCTCACACCTGTTAGAAGAGCTATCATCAAAAGGCCAGATGGAACAAGCGTTGTTGAGGATGTGGAAAGAGAACCCTTGTATACTATTGATGGGAATGTAAACTGGTGCAGCCACTATGGAAAACAATTTAGAGTTCACCAAAAAATTAAAAATTGAACTACCACATGACCCATCAATTCGACTTTTGGGTATTTATCTGAAGGAAACAAAAACATTAATTCAAAAAGATATATGTACCCCATGTTCAATGCAACAGCCAAGGTGTGAAAACACCTAAGTGTCCACTGATGGGTGGATGAATGGATAAAGAAGATATGTGTATCTATACAATGGCACACTATTCAGACACAATAAAGAATGAAATCTTGCCACTTGTGACATGGATGGACCTTGAGGGAATTATGTTAAGTGGAAGAAATCAGAAAGACAAATACTGTATGATCTCTTATGTGGAAGGTAAAAAAAGCCCCAAACAAAAATCTTTCAAGCTCACAGAGGAGGTATGGGGTGGGTGAAATATATGAAGGTGTAAGTAACTGTTAGGGGATATAATGTACAAAATGGTGAATACAGTTAATAAAACTGTATTTGAAAGTTGCTAAGAGAGATCTTAAAAGTACTCATCACAAAAAAATTATATATTTTTTGGTAACAATATGGTGATGGATTTAACTAGACTTATTGTGGTAATTGTTTTGCAATGTATGTAAATATCAAATTATTGTCATATACCTGAAACTAATATGTTGTATGGCAATAATACCTCAATATAAAAAAAAGAGGTAAAAAAGTATTTTATTGAAAAAAAGATAAGGAACATATTACTCCCAAAAGTTCCCTCAGTTTCCTTTGTAATCCATCTCTCCCCAACTCATCCCCACACATCCTGCCCCATAAACCTGGCAACCACTGACCTCCTGCCAGTATAAATGTTTGCTTTTTCTAGAATTTTAAATCAGTGAAATCATAGTATGTACCTTTTTATGTTTTTTTTCCCCCCCATTCAGCATAATGATTTTAAAATTCATTGATTTGTATTGATAGTTTCTTTTTATTTGCCGAGTAGCATTTCCATAGTTCGGATGTACCACAATTTGTTGACAGAATACCTGCTGATGTGCATGTACATTATTTCTACTTTTGGCTACTAAAGCAGCTATGAACTTTTGTGTATAAGTGTATGTGAACTTGAAAGTCAATAAGGTTATAAATCCTTAGTTCACATGTTCTTTCATTGCGTATGTGTTCTCCTTTTCCTTATGCATAGATCATTGCTGTTGACAAGTCCAATGATAATCTAATTTTGTTTCCCTTATTAAGGCATATGGGTCTTTTCCTCTAGATGTCCAAATGATTTTCTTTAAAGGCCAATAACTTTACTAGAATTTTATCTTTTTGTTGATGGTTTTGGGTTGATATTCTTAAGTGTAGGGTATGCTCTCTCAATATGTAGTAGTTTCAAATCTTTTTGTTTTTAAAGAGTTTTTTCATATTAATTTTTAGTATTTGTTCTGTTTTCTTCTTCCAGGACTTCTAGTATTTATTATGTTTGATCTTTGCTTGTCTTCACCTTTTCTCAAAATCTTTTTCTCTCTTTAAAAATTTCCCCCTTTTCACACTCTATTTCTCTTAAGGCATTCTATATTATATTTGCTCTTGTATTCCTTCTATTTTAATCTTTGGTTCTGAAATAAATTATTTTTTATTCCTTCCTGAGTTCTGTAACTTCATCTCTTTTTCTCATTTTGATTTATGCTGTATTTTCATGCCTTATATAATTTAAAAAATGTCTCTTGTTTTAAAATAGTGGGTGACAGTTTGATTCCATTTTGTGGGCGTGTTTTTCTTTCACTAACTGTAGGGATGTTATTCTGTATATTCTTTTTTTTCTAATAAGGAAAACTTTGTATGCAATTTCACCTTAAATACTTTTATTTTTATGAGAAATTAGTTTTCCTGATGAAGTGAGGTTCAGAAAAGCCTGAGTTCATAAGTCTGTTTTTGTGTAGTGTTAACAAATGTGATAGCTTGCTTTCAGAATTTCCTGGCTTGTTTCCTTCCCCTACTTTGGTCTATATCCTCTTTCCTTTCTGTGTCTCCATCTGGCTCCATTTTGATTTCACTCCCAGCAGTTTCTCCTCACAAGGGGCCCTATCATGAAAGCAAGCCCTGGTCAGATTTCTCTAAGCCCCTTATGATGGGCCCTTGGTATGATATAGTGCAAAACCCCTCCCAGTCAGTTATCCAAAGATGATATACGAATGGCCAATAAGTATGTGAAAAGATGCCCCAAATTATTAGTCATTAGAGAAATGCAAATCATAACTACAATGAGATACCACTTCACACCCACTTGGATAGCTATAATAAAAAAGACAAGTTTTAACAAGAATATAGAGAAATGGCAACCCTCATACGCTGCCGGTAGGAATGTAAAATGGTACAGTTAACTTGGAAAAATTTAGCAGTACCTCAAAAAGTTAACCATAGAGTTTTCATTTGACTTAGCAATTCCACTTCTAGGTATAGACCCAAGAATACTGAGAACATATCTTCATACGAAAACTTATGCACGTATATTCATAGCATTATTCATAATAGCTGAAAATGTCCATCAACTGATGAATGAATGGCCACACAAAATTACTCACAATGGAATATTATTCAGCCATAAAAAGGAATGAAGTACTGATACATATTGTGATAGGGATGAACCTCGAAAACATGCTAAGTGAAAGAAGCCAGTCACATGAGACCATATACTGTATGATTCCATTCATCAGAGATGTCCAGAGGAGGCAAACTCATAGAGAAGGTAGATTACTGGTTGCCCAGGGCTGGGGGTAGGGTGGGATGAGGAGAACTACTAACAGATTTTATTTTTGGGGTGACAAAAAAGTTCTGGAAATTAGATAGTAGTGATAACTGTGAAACTTATGAAAACAACAGGTCCTTGCATAATGTCATTTCATTCAGCGTTGCCTTGTTATAATGTTGATGAGAAAAAAAAGTCAGTTCCTGTCCAGGGCCACTGTCTGTGTGGAGTATGCACGTTCTCCACATGTCTGTGTGGGTTCCTACCCACATCCCAAAGATATGCATGTTAATTGCCATGTCTAAACTGTCCCAGCATGAGTGAGGGTGGGTATGCATTTCAGTGTGCCCTGCGATGGGAAGGGTGACCTGTATAGTGTGGGCTCCTGCCTTGCACCCTTGGCTGCTGGGATAGGCTCTGGCCATCTGTGACCCTGAAATGGAATAAGCGGTTAGAAAATAATTACCTTACTTTTTATTAATATTTCTTAAATGTATGTTTAGTTCACATTTATTCCAATGTTTAACATTAGCAGTGCTTTGGGTCTTTGTTTAGAAGTTTGCTGGTATTTTTGTGACCAGCACTATGCTGTAGGAACTTAACTCTTGTTTCCATCAATTAGCCTAAGGTAAAATTGGTTTCGTTATATGAAGTTTTGCTTAAAGTTGGTTTCCAAGAACCTATCAACAATGTTAAGTGAAGACTACTATATACTAAAATCTACGGGACTGCATACTTTAAAAAAGGTGAATTTTATGGTGTATGAATTCTATCTTACTTTAAAGAAAACTTAAAAACAAAAACAAAACTTCTTCCAGTTTCAGCTGCTATTCTCAAACTGGCCAGCTATGCTTTGCAGTGAATACTTGTTGGCTATTTTGGGGGTACTCCTCTTCTTAGGTTTGTTAGAAGGCACCCCATTGCTTCCTTATTCCTCCTGCTCAGATACCAATACCATGCAGTCTTGGGGCTGTTGGTGGTTCAGTCCTCTCCACCTGTATTTTGGAGTCTGTGGAAATACCGTGTTAGCCAGTTTTGTTCTAAGTGTTGTTCATGAGGTTATGTTTTTGCTACCTAGTTGTTCTGCTGGTTTTATGCACAGATGTGGAAAGAATGAAAAATTATGATGCCACTCCCCACCATCTTGCCAGAAGCCTCTCAGTCTATTCATTTTTACAACTTGGTCAGCAGGAGGGGATGACAAGGTCCCAAGTAATAAGACACTGAGATAGGCACCTGGGGCCTTGAGGGCTAGGCAGACTGTGGATCCCCTGAATTGGGGGATACTGACTTTGAGTTTCCATCTGGGTAGATTTCAGAAGTATTTGAGGCTATCAAAGCCAGAACTGCTGTGTAGAGAGAAGACACACAGATTCTAGGGTTCTAACTCTGGCACAGTGTCTTCTCTAAATCACTTACTTTTTCTGAGCCTCATTTGCCTCAACAAAAAATGGGACTAGGACTGCTTACCTTACAAATATGTACATTTGTTAATTTCTTTTAGCCTTCACAAACATTTGTGAGGATTACATGACACATAGTAGGAGCTGAAGAAATGAGTTTTTCCTCTACTGCCTCCAGTGCTTTCTCGACTGTTTCAACTTTAATGTCCGATGACTAGAAGTATAAGAAACTAAATTCCTATGATGCTTCCTACAATACTACTTAGTTCTATGGGATCACAATGACCACAAGGCAATGTCAATTGAGGCGTTCAGAGCAAAGGTGGCAGGAAGGCAGGCTACTGCTGCCACCTTGCCAGTGCCCTGGTCCTCCTCAACTTAGGAGCTTGCAAGGAGGAACCAGTGTTAACCCCGCCCAGGGCTGAATGAAGTTGGTGCAGCCTGGCCTCCCTGGATGCAACCTCTGTCTGGTATCAGAACAAAGACGCTCAAAGCTGCTCTACCATGCATGTCTGGTCAGCAGCCCCTCCCCTGGTCCACTGCACAGCAGCAACACTACTCCTACCTCACTCTAGGGAATCTACAGGAGAGACATGGCAAGTCAGCAGAGCTACCCTCTACATGCAGGTAGGGTCTGGACTTACAGTGTGAGCATTGTTGATCTTCTTCACTTCCCACTGGCCCTCCCCAGTGTAGGTCAGCAGGGAGATGGCACCATCCGAGCTCCCACAGGCCAGGATCAGACCATAGTCATGGGGGGCCCAGCACACAGAGTTTACTGCAGGAAGGAGGGAGGCATGGTGAACAGACTGTTTTTCCAGACTTACTATTTTAATAAATTTCTTAAAAAAAAAAAAATGCCAGGATCACTAGGGAGAAGTTGTAACTTTGTCAATTAGAGAGATTCAAAAAACCAATCACCTAGTAACATCATTATTTCATAAACTAATATCTATCTTAAGAAAAAGTAGGCTGGACAACAATCTGAGAATGAAGGCTAGTACTTGAAATGAATAAATCTTAAAAAAACAAAACTGTATCGTCTCCACTTTTCTCATTTTGCTTTGGACTGGCTTTAGGTCTTGGGGCCTTAACTCCTCTGTGGACAGACTAGCAGAAAAGCCAACCAAAGCCCAAGGGACAAACAAGAAGCATTGCAAGGGGGAAAGACCCAGAGCATTAGGCAAGACAGAGGTCATTCTCATCCAAGGGCCCCCCCACCCACTTTCTCCTGCCACACTCAGTGTACCTGAGGAGTCGTGTCCCGTGTGCTCATGTGTCTTCTCCCAGGTGCCGTTTTCCTCTTTCCAGATAATGACTTTCCGGTCATAGGAGCAGGATGCCAGGATATTGCCATACATGGGGTGGGCCCAGGCCACTTGCCACACAGGACCCTCGTGACTGCAAAGGGAGAGGGTCAGAGACTGCTTAGATGGGCTAGAGGAACCCTCAGTGCTCTGCTGGCCATTACTTCGGAGAGAACTGAATGGCTTCCTTGGTAGGCAGAGATAATGTCTCAGGACAGAACTGCCTAAGAATTTCAAAATGGACAGCCAGACTGTCACTGCTAAAAGGGACTTCATTGGATAGTAAGGACCTTGAGGCCAAGAGGTCAGAGAGGCTTTGAAAACAAATCAGGATGCTAAGTTAGCCTCTCTGTTCCAAACTGGTAGGACCCTTACATGCCCCATATTGCAGCCAGCACCACCTATATCTACTGTCATCAGCAGTCATCGATCAATCTAGGATTTGCACCCACAAGTGCTTGGTAACTATCTGTAGAGTGAATTGTTATTTATCCTTCCAGATGGTCAACTCCTTGAGAAGGCAGTATCTATTTCATTTTGATATTTTCCACTACTCTTTTAATTTGTTCAAAAGGCATCTTTCGCTCTTCTCTTCTGATCTTTATGCATTCATACATGCTAAGTATTGTCTGGGCATGTACCCTGTACTGGGCGTGATACTGGGGCTATCTCTCAGTTCAGGGAAGGGTGGGCACCCAGCACATGAGCAGTAGCTCAGCTTAGAGATTCTTTCACACTCACTCCCCATTCTCCAGCTGCTTTACTTGAAGCAAGGACCATCTTACTTATGGCTTAGTCTCTTAATGAGGATACCATCAAGGCTTCTTTCATAGACTGGTCAAGAGGGGAAATATTTGTGATAACTCATGCAGAGCTTAGAACAGTGCTTGGTACCAGGGGGGAAAAAACACTCAATGCTTATCAGCTATTACTGCTGTTTCTTGTTCACTCCTTCACCCAAGCCTGCAGCACTCAAAGTCTCCTCCTCCCTCTGGCTGGGACAGCAGGACATTCCCAGGCCCAAAAAAGGAGCTGCTAATGAAACTGTCAGTAGATTCAAATGTCTTACACTTAGCACAGATTTAACCAAGGCAAACAAGAATAGGGATGTGAATTTCTCTCTTCAATTTTTTCCCTGGCTTTATTGAAATATAACAATCAGTTGCCGTATTTACATTGTACAATTCAAATTTTTTTTTTCGATTATAGTTGGCATACAATATACGTTTCAGTTGTACAGCCTCATGATCAGAGATCCACATAACGTGCAATGATCACCCCACTAAATCTAGTACCCCTCTTCCCTTACATATTACAACATTATTAACCATCTTCCCCAAGCTACATTCTACATCTCCATGTCTATTCTGCAGCTATCCATTTGTACCTCTTAATCTCTTGGCCTTCATTTTGCTGTCCTCCACACCTCCCTCCCATTAGTAGCCCTCAAGATATTCTCTTATCTATGAGTTACTTCTGCTTTTGTTATTTTGTCCTCTAGATTCCACATGTACATGAAATCATGCAATACTTGTCTTTCTCTATCCGACCCATTTCATTCAGTGCAATCCTCTCTAGGTCCATCAAGGCAATATCTTGTTCCATCTCCTTCCTTTTAGTCTGTCTTTTAATCTGAAGTGAGTCTCTTGTAGGCAGCATATTGTAGGGGTCTTGTTTTCTTATCCATTCAGCCACCCTATCTTTTGGTTGGAGCATTTAATTCTTTTCCATTTGAGGTACTTGTTGATACGAATGTAGTTATTACCATTCTTTATTCTTGTTTTTGATACATGTTTTTTCTTCTTAAAGAAGTCCCTCCAACATTTCCTGTAATACTGGCTTGGTGTTGATAAATTCCTTTAGCTTCTTTTTGTCTGGGAAGCTTTCTGTCCTTTGACTCTAAATGATAGCTTTCTGGATAAAGTATTTTTGTAGATCCTGGGTTTTCATCACGTCAAATATTTTGTGCCAAGCTGTTCAGTCCTGCATAGGTTCTTAAGAATTTAGCTGCCAGTCTTATGAATGCTCCCTTGTAGGTAACTAACTGCTTTTCTCTTGCTGCTTTTAAGATTATCTCTTTGTATTTAACCTTTGGCATTTTAATTATGATGTGCTTTGGTGTGGGCCTCTTTGGGTTACTCTTTCTTGGAACTCTCTGAACTACCTGGGGTTGTATGTCGAGTTCCTTCAGCAGGTGAGGGAAGTTTCCCATCATTATATCTTCAAATAGCTCTTTGACGTCTTTCCTTCAGGTACTCCTATGACAAAGATATTTTTAAATAGTGTCCCATAAGCTCCTTAAATTATTATAGTTTTGGCTTCTTTTTTCTTGCCATTCTGACTGAGTGTCCTTGGCTTCCCCATCCTCTATATTGGTGGTTCGATCCTCTTCTTTACCCACTCTGTTTATTCCATCTAATATACTTTTCATTTCAGATAGTGTATTCTTCATTTCTGACTGGTTCCCTTTTACAATTTCCATTCCCATTTTTATGTTTTTTTCTCTTTATCAGTGAATTCAACTACACTTTCCTTAAGTTCAATGAGCATCTTTATAACCAATGTTTTGAACTCTGTATCTGTTAGATTGCTTGACTCCATTATTCCTGGATCTCTGTTCTGTTCTCTCATATGGTTTCTGCTTTTTGTCTTCCCATTTTGGCTGCTTTTCTGTGTCTGTTTCTATGTCTCAACAAAGCTCCTAAGTCTCTTGGTCTTATTAGTGTGGCTTTGTGTAGTAGGTGTCTGGTGGCACAGTCCTGAGAGGGGTCCAGCTACAGGCCAAGGTTAGCCCCAGCTGGGGCCACCTGTTAAGATTCAGCAAGCAATCCACAGATTCTGTGCTTACAGTTACCTCAAGAGGCCATGCCAGAAACCGAGGCCAGCAGCCACCAGTGTGAGTCTTGGCACTGCTCAGCAAGGAGCACTGAGCTCAGCCTCGAGGACACAACTGGATGTGGCTTGGGTGGGGCCACGAGCTGAGAGAGGAGGAGTTTTAGGGAATCCTCTGGGCAGAGCGACCTCTGTTATCCAGTTTGATGACATCTCAGCTATGGTGGCACTGTGCCTGCACACTGGTAGTGGGGAGGGCTCAATAGAGGAACAATGGATACTGCTGGCACTTCAGCTGGGAAAGAGCCTCGTCTCTGGCCCTCACTCCACAACTCAGTGTCCCCCTGTAAGTCCCTGGTCCCTCTCATGCAGCTGACCTGGCATTGGTGCTCAGAGCAAGCAGGTCTGTCACCGCGAAAGTCCATTTGTGGACACTGTCCCTTTAAGAAGTGTTTGCAGCTGCCAAAGCATCTGTCCCATTCAGCCGCTTAGGATTGGGCGGCCTCGCGTCCCTACCCCGTCCTACTTCCTCTCATTGCAGGGTATATTTCTTATTTCTCTTCCTAGTTGTAGGGCTTATTCAACTAGATCCCAGGTGATATTTCTTGCTGTTTGCTGTGTTTCTGTCACAACTTTGATTTGAGAGAGGGATAAACAAAGCCTCTATCATCTATGCTATTTTTTTTTTTTTTACTCTCCTCTATCTCTTCAATTTTTTATGTTTCTCGATCATAAAACACAGAGCAGAAAGGATTGAGTGACAGTTGATGTGACTGCCTCTGCCAGTGCTGCAGCCAGGTCTCACTCTAGCAGCTCTCTGTGTAGTCAGAGGCTGTTACACAAGGAAAGTGCCATTTGGCTCCTCTGTCACTGTATTCTCGACACTTAGGAAGAGGGAAACTTCTAGGCCTATCTCCCCAAATGGCTACTGACTTAGCTGTCTTCTTTAATTCAGTTAACAAACATGTACTGAGCACCTACTTGTCAGTGGTTCTTAATCTCCTTTTACAGCCTGGCAGAGGTATGGTCCCTTCTTAGAATAATGGATAAAATATATAAAGTTAAGATAATACTGTGGCCCTAGCCTACAACCGTAATTGAAGGAAATGTTAAGTATCAGTCACTGAAAATAAAGATACTTTTCTTTATTGCCCCAGTTCACTAACCCTTGAATTCTATCCACGGAACTCTTGGAGATCTGTGGAACCAGTTTAAGAACCCCCATTTATTTGAAAGGCAGTGAACTGAGGAAAAGCAATAGAGATGTGACCATAAAAATGATAGCTATGATTTCAAGAATCTCAGTAGGGAGGGAGGGTAAATCAAACACTCATAAATACCTGCAATGGGAAAACAGGCAGAATTACGGTATTTATATCATTACCATTACATTCTTACATTAACATTATTCTTACATTGTGACCCTTGAGAGACACACACACACACGAAGGAAGTTTCCCACATTTAAAAATAATAGTAGCTATGAAAGGCTGGTTGGGAGCAGGCTCTACGTGGGAACAGGCAGCATTAGCCCGTTTTGAGGGTGAGCAGGTAAAAGCTCCCAGAGATAAAATGACTCTCTCGTCCAAAGTTTTCTAGTGGGTATCTGGGGGCAGAGCTGGAAATTATCCCTGGATCCATTAGCCCAGGATACCTGCTAAGGGCAGCAGGGTGGCTGGCACCAGGGTGTCCTCACTGCTAACTGCACTGTGGGGCTGCTCTGATCTGGCTCTCAGGCTTTCCTGCCATGCCTAAAAAGCCCAACCATTCTCCAAGACCTTGCCCAGGGATGGCTGCACTTACCCTCTGAGGTCTGCGATGAGGATCTGCCCGCTGTTGCGCACATCGAAGATTTTGACAGATCTGTCTGATGAGCAGGTTGCCAGGCGGGTGCCATAGTAGTCCATCTGGGCATCGTGCTGTAAAGGGAGACCAATAGCTCAGGAAGCCTGCAGGCTGGAAGGGGGGCGGGGCGAGCACAGACACCAGGACACAGAATCTAGTTTGGATCAGAATCTCCCTAAAATTAATCTAACCTCAAAGAATCATCACTATCAGGCAGGAAACTAGCATGTCAACATTCTCACTTCTCTGATGGGTAGTATCTCTTGAAAGAGGCAAGACAAAGCATACCCAGCTACTTTTAGACTCTTTACATACATGGGGAAGTCATTTCCCACTCTGTTCTGCAGGGTAGATATAAAAAAAAGCTGGCCTAGCCTTCCTCTTCTTCCTCAGGCCTCACTGTGTTCTGAGGCTCTGTGGGCTACTGGGGAAGACACCTAGGTTTAGCTCAGCCCCAGAACCCGGGCTAAAAAAGGCCCGAATCAGGTCCTCCATGATGTACATCTGACCTAGACACAGGGTTCCATTCAGACATTGGGCTCCTTTCTTTACCCCTTGCCCTGGATCTTTTGTGAACCTTTGCTCCTAGGTTTCTACTTAACCTTTTTCCTAGTAGTGTCCAGCACTCCTGACTCTCCATCTATGCCTTAAATGACACTGAGTCAACTTCCTCAATGCTGACTGGCCATCCAGACCTAGGACTGGCCCTTGCCCACAGCTCCTTGTCCATCGGGGGCTATAGCTCCTCTGAGCCACTATGACTGCTGCCCTGCAGAACACAGAACACACTGGTCCCTCCTGTTTGCTGGTTCCGCCTATTCCAACAAATGGCACTTTCTTCAGCTATCCCACTTTGGGGGTTTTAATAACTATTAGCCATCATTCTTGTGGTCCTCAGAGGCAATTATACCCTTTCAATGGTAGCAATCATTCCCTCTGGATTAACATTCTTTCCTTGCCTCTCTCCCCAAGGAAAACATCCTGATTCTTCTCTGGAAGTCAATTCTCCCCACTATTCCAGGTCTTGGCTTCCTGGAAGGCAGTGCGGGTATTAAGACAGATCTCTGAATATGTATTTCTGAAGCACTTCTCCTGTAGAGTGCTTTCACACACTTTGGGAGGAGGCAGGGCACAGTACCTAATAGATTTAAATCCTATCTCCTCAGCTTATGTGTTGTGCAACCTTGGAAAAATTGCCTAGTCTCTTTGAATCTGTTTCTTTATCTTTAAATGAGGCTCATCTGCTTCAAGGGTTGTAATGAAGGTTAAATGAGATACTGAAAGAATTTATTTAGCATGGGATCTGACACTTAGCATGCAGACGTTAGTCATTAGTATTTTGCCTTATCTGTTCCTAAAATTGAACCTATACTCATAGGTAGCACATCCATTACTTTTTCTATTTTAACCATGAGGAAATCAAAGCTGGCTCAGAAGAGTTAGGAGATAGGCTAGGGAGTCTCAGATTGGATCTTCTTACCCATGGTGCCATATTATCTCAAAGGAGGTGGTGACACATGGCTGCAATCTAAGTAACATATACAACTCCAAGACCAGACAACCTCTCAGAAGCCCCAAAGTAACCAATGGTGGGCAGGAACCTGGGATGACATGCTGAAAGTTGACTGACCTGGGTCTTGCTCAAAAGCCTTTGACCTAGACTGCTAGGTCCTGCATGAAGCAGTCTGTATCTTTGCTGTGGGAGACTTTTAACTTCTGGACCTTCTCCCACAGCTCTGTCCTCTTATACTGAGTCCTGTGTTTACCGCTCAGGAAATACCCTGAGTTAATGACTTCTGGTTCAAAGAACCTTGTCTGGCCCTTTGTGGTAGTTCTACCTGGCTCTGCCTTAGGCTTTTGCTAAGCCTGCCTTCATACTGAGTCATCTTCCTATTCTCTCTTCATTTAACCCCCTTTCCAATGAGGCTAAGAGGTGGCAGGAGGAGGAAGACAGGTAGGAAGACTGTTGTCAAACCTCGGTATCTACTCAGGCTCCATCCCAGAGCAGGTTATTTTGTTGGCCAGAAGACTGAGAGCCTTGAGCTATAAACCATTCCCAGGTTCCTCCCACTAGAGTGATCAGATTGCTACAGTCCTGCTAACTGAGAGGGTATTGCTGGGAGACTGACCATAACCCTGAGGCTACAGTCTGAGTGGCAAAGGCTGCGAAGCCACAATGGATTCATAAATGATCAAGAGAAATGTTTCCCTCCCACAGAAATGCCCATGTCCACAGCCCATGAAGGAGGGCTAAAGGAATACTTACAATCATGTCCTCATGAGAAGTGTCCACAGTGTTAATTACTGACACCTAGAACCAAAGATATCATTGGTAAATGAACTGATGGCAGTTAGAATGTAATCATCTTGTAAAATCCACCGATCATTTCTAAAGTTCTTGACTACATTTGTTCATTTATTCACTCGTAGTATCTTCTTTTGTGAAGCACTGTACCAGGGGTTGGAGGTATAGACACAAATAAGAGGTACTTCTTGCCCTTGATAAGCTTGTACACAAGATAAATACTTTAATGGTGGTTTACATGTGCTACAGTAGCCTGCAGGACTGTTGGTGCTGGATGTGAAGTGGGGCTTAGATGATGAGGAATTTGCCAGGTGGCACAGGGAAAAAAAGTACCGTCCAAGCAGAGGGCATAACATAAGTAAAGAGGAGAGATGACAAGCAGCCCTGGCTACCTTTAAGGGTGAAGAGGACCTTGAGAGAGTTATGACTGGTGTTCTTTTCCTGGATGACAGAGCCTCAGATGTCTCAGGCAGTTTTTTGTGTAATGGGATTAATTCTGAAGACTCGGAGAATTGACTCAAGTTTCTCTTGAGGTTGTTTCTTGGTCCACAACCTGTGACAGATCCTAGACTGTCATCTACTATGATCCAGGGTTGAGCAGCTTGTAGGACTAGAACACAGCTGCCATCACTTCCTACCCATTCTTTGGAGTTCAGCTCAAATTATGCCCCCTTTGTTGAAGATTCCCAGATCCCCCGACTGGCTGTACTCCTTTGAATATCTTCAGTACTTAAATGTCTAGAACACTTAACGCAGTTTCTTCTCACGAGGTGTGCTCCCTGGACCTAGGGTCTGTGTCAGCTGCAGTTTTGAATCCTCTCAAATCACCCAGCATTGTGCTTTGCAACCAGAAGGAACTCAGTGACTATTTGCTGAATGAAGAAGCAAATGAACAAAAAGTTTTACTTTGCTCAACCACTATTCTCTTAAAATTTGTGGGATAGAAAAGGGACTGAAAAGTTTTGAGTTTGTAACTGGTATTTCTTACCATCTCCCCTCTTTCTTTTTCCAGCACAAGCCCTGCAGGTATAAAGTTTAACTTGACTTTTTTTAGAAAGGTGGACATTGGAAGAGGATGGCTGTAAAGCAGTTTAAAAGGTACACATCAAGTAAGCACAGGTTCTCTCATCGAATTTTAGACTCCCTAAAAAATGGGACACTAAGGTCTGTAAAAGCAAGGATGAAAAAGTCTCCAATGCAGGCCAAGTTGTTCAGGTTACAAAGTGCTTTAACGTGTGCACTGGGATGAATGAACAGCAGAGCTGTGTAACAAACTAAGGAACTGAAGAAGCCCAGAGGAGAGAAAGCACTTGCTAAAGTTATAGAGCTAGTTAAAGGTGGAGCTGGGAAAAAGAGTTTCACCTACTAACTCCCAGCCCACAAAGCTTCCTACTTCACTAGGTTGCCTATTTAGCATATAAAGTAGTTGTTCCACTGAATTCACTAAATCAATGGCTGAGGACCAAGTAAAGTCAGGAAGAGCTTTCTGGTAGTTTCATACAAGGTCACCAAAGGACCTTAGCGATAACAAGCATTTATTTTTAACAACTCTCATCTGCCAGCCAGGATTGACAAACCATTTTCTAAACAAGTACCTTTTTCTTTTAAACTCCTTTAAAAAATGTCCTTCCTCCCAAGCACCTCAAGTTGTCTGATCCTTGTTAAGCAGTAAGTGGCAGCCCTCAAAACAATTCAGCTCTTCAGAATCAGTTAATGAGTTAACAATTCATTTAGAAAGCTGTGGAGCATAAAAGATGCCAATTCTACCTAGCAGCTGAGAATCAGACCAAGAAATGAGTAATTTAAAACACAGCCTACATGTAATGCAAGAACCAAACTCCGTCTGGGTTCATCCAGGTTTCTTCAAAACTCCAGGCACATGCATATTCCTGAGAGCACTGGTTTACTGAACCCCCACTCGGTGCCAGGCTCAGGCCAAATGCTTTTCATCCACTAGTTCCCATTCGGCCAATCATTCATTCGATGCGTAAGTGTGGAGTAAATGTATACTGTTGCTTCTACAGAAATTTAAAAATCTGGGCCTCTGCCCTCAGAGACTCATTCAGCTCACCTTTCTTTCACTTTCCTCAAGTGCCCATCATACTTCGAGGTGCTACCCCGAGCCACAGTTCCACCCATCTCTGCTGGGAGACGTGGTAGAGGGTAGAAAGGAATGGTTACGAGTTCGAATCTCAGCTCTGCCACTTACCAGCTGGGCAAGAGGCTTCCTCATATATAGTGTCGATAACAGCACCTACGTTACAGGGCTGTTAGCAGGCTGAGATTATGAACAATATTTGTTACTAAGGACTCAGGATGTAGCAGCTCTTATAATGTTCTTGATTTTGTTTTCAACTGTTGAGAGAAGAGAAGGAAAGGAAGGTGCAGGAGGCGCGGCAGCACCGCGGCCCCGTAGAGTTCCGGGAGGTTCCATGGCCTCCCCCGGCGAAAGGTCCCAAGAGCCAGGACTGCAGTCCCCCAAACCTCGAAGCAGTGGAAGGGAGCTGAACGGCTCCAGCCCGGGGCTTGAACCTCCGCGTGGTCGAGGAGCCCGTGACCACTGCGACCATGGCCGGAACCCCGCTCGGCGTCCCCGGCCCAGACACTCACCATGGCTGCTGCGGCGACGGTGGCAACAGCTCCCGGGCTCGGACGTGGCAGCTCTTGGAGGCGCCTCGGAAGCTCACTTCCGGCGCCGGCCGCGTCGGGTTGTAGCGCAGGAGCCTCCGGGTAGCAACGTGCTGTACTCGCATTAAGGTTCCGCGCCCTTCAGCGGCGGCGCCACGCCCTCCTACGGCCCCGCCCATCTCCGTGAGGAACTCGCGAGACCCACAGTGGGCTCTTGTTTCCATGGCGACCTTGACGCACAAGCTTTTGGAATCTGAATGAAGCTCCAGTGGATCTTCCTTCCTGACCCCTCCTTCTCCTTCTCCTCACCCCCACTCCCGAAATCCTTTCGTGAAAGATTCATAACTACACTTTCACCCGTTTCCCTGCGGTTCTGGGTGCGTCTGGCCTTATGATGAATACTGAAGGGCAATCAATTTTTTGGGTAGTCAGTAGAGTGGTCTTAGCGCTTCGTTGTTGTTGGTCCCTCTTCAGGACCCAAGGCTGGGACCAGGGGCAGAGAAGGCTAGGGGAATACCCTCTACTAGAGACTGAGCTCTCTCACCCTGCCTCTCCAAGTCATGTGACCCATGACTCCAAATTGCCCTTTCCCCACAGTTCTGGGATCCTGTGTGTCAAGACTGTCAGGTAAATCCCTCAGGCAAGGAGAAATTTCAGCCATGCTCCTGCAGCTAGAGCCCAAGACCCAGCCCCTAGGTCCCTGGCTTCCCATAAGCACAGTGAGAATGCCGTGCTACTGGACGGAGCCTGGGGACTCCCCTCAGCCACACGTGTTCTGGCAGCCCTGGGCGGTTCATGGATTTAAGAAGTCGAATGAGATAGGGTAGAATCTAGGCTCCCCTTGGGTAGATCACAATCCCTCAGTTTCTTCTCCTGTAACTGGAGGGAAAAATCCTCGCTGGAGGTGGTCACTGCTGGAGAGATGTTAGTTAAGGCTCAGAGAGTGTGATAGACCCAGACCATCAAAGAGCTTTGGAGAGGGGAATGGGTCTTACAGAATGCCAGGCTAGGCCTCTGGCCAGCAACCCATCCTACCCCCTCAGCTTTAAAGATTCCTTATTTCCCTCAAATGGAGATATATTGCAAGGGTATGAGGGGGCAGTGCTTAGAGTAGAGCAGGGAACAAAGTGGGCAGGGCTCCTGGGTCTCCTGTTTTTCAAGGGACAGGTCCTGGCCTTGAATCTGCACCTATACCCCTGATCCTCTGGGTCATAAGGTCACATCCTCCTCTTTGCACCTTGCTTTCAAGTGGAAAATGCAGACAACGGTGTATTAGATATAATACAAATATAATGCATGGGGCATAGTTGTTATAAAAAGGAATTTGTTGGTGTAGGCATTGAAGTTGGAGAGATTGGGGATTTGGGACAAGCAATGAAACTATATTATTCATTAAGGTATTTGCTGTTGGGACTGAAAGGCATTGTAATAGAGGTTTTGAGTGCCAATTCTGAAATCAAGACTGCTAGGCATCGGTACTTTATCTTCTACTTACTAGGTGGGCATACCTTTCACCTCTCTGAGCTGCTGTCTCCTCTTCTGTTAAGTGGGAATTACAATAATATTGCCTCTGAAAGTTGATGTTGGGATTAAATGGACTCTTGGATGTGAAATCATGTTTGGAAGTTGGCTGGGTCTCTGGTGCTTGATCTGGGGATGTTCTCCCTGAGAAAAGCTGGAATTTAGTGTGTGTGTGCGCGTGTGGTGTGCATGAGTAACCCTCAAACTTGAGACCAACATTGGGATTTAGAGTGCCAGGCTCCTCTTTGTCTGCCCCCTTCCCAGTAGGAGATGCCACCTACATCCTTTGTTCATATCTTCCATCACCTCCCTCTGATTAATACCAGATCCAAAATCAGGCCATTCTTAGCTTTCCCCAGTTTGTGCCCCTACCTTCCAGATCCTCTGGTCCCTGAATCTATTCCTCCTCCTCCTCCTCAGGCCTTTTCTCCCAAAGTCTTGCTCTCTGGGACTGTCAGCTGTTCCTCAAGAGAGGTTAATGACTCAAAGCAGGTTAAGCTTGTCTTCCTAAAATGGTGGATGTTCAAAAGGTGTGACTTGCTGGAAGGAGAGAGACCATCCACTGAGTTGTGCAACCTTGAGCAAAGTGCCTTTTGCACCCAAGGGACTCAATTTCCCCCTGAGTTCCAATCCACAGAGGGTGGGGACCCAGCTCTCCTGTGGAAAAAGGCCTAGTGATGTGTACCGTGTCTGCGTTTCCACGTGTGCATTTATTGTTATTGCTCAGTATAGTGTTGAAAAGGCAGACAAATCCCATTAATTACAAAAAGCACAAGCCAGAGATACAGAGAAATAAAGAGTGTACAATAAGAGCACAGTCACTTCCCAGCCCCGATTGTCCCAGAGCCCACAGAGCCTGGGCAGCTTGTGGAAGCTGGAGGCGGCACCATTTCCTCACTGCACTGTTATAAAATATGTGCACACAAGAGTTACCAAATCGTGGCGCCCCCCCGGGAGGAAAGGCCCGGAGGGAGAGCACCACAGGTATTACAAAACAGACTTAGGGGGCTGAGAAGGGTGATCCCAAAGCAGCCTCAAATATCTTTTCGGTGAAGGGGGTGATGGCTGATGCCCAGGGCCTGGTATCCCCCTTCCCCAACTTGGGCAGATAGGATCTCTACATCAGAATCAGGAGAGCTTGCTTTGGAACTTGGAAAGGACCTAGAGATTTTCTGCTGTTGTCAGATTTAGGCCTTGGCTCCGGAACACTAAAAAGCCTTTAAGAAATGCACCCCTCCATTTTCTAATGGTGGGGTATTGGACACTATGGAAAGAGTTTTGGGTGGGAGGCATGTCACAGGGCACCTGGTTGACAGCCTCCCGTAAATCAAGCAAGAACAGGTAGGGGGAGTCAGGGTGGTGAGAAGGTCCAGGCAAGAAATTGCTGCATCCCAAAGGACCTATCACATAACCGTTGAAAACTCTGAATATAGAGCAAAAAAGCAGTTCAGGAAAGGGAGACAGGAATAAACATTTCTCCATGAGAATTAGAAATATAGACAACCGGGCTACACATTCTGGTAGCTCCAGTCTGGGAGAGACCACTTTTCTCATCTGGACTGGGCAGATGAAGGGTTCATCCCAGCACAAACAAGATGGGTGACTCTGAGTCCCAAACTGGGATTGAGTGGAGGGTTGGTTAGTGGCCTCTCGATGATACCTTGGCTTAGGGAACAAGTGAGAGGATGGGATGAATGTTGGGTTTCTCTTAAGACTCAGGACGCCCTTTTTGTTTCTCCTTACAGGACACTCTATTTAGTGACCCTGACTGGACAGTACTTACAATGGTGGAAAGATGTTTACACAAAGAATGACAGAGTGGTAGGAGGGCAGGGAGTGGAGGACTTGGCAAAATTTTAAAGTTTACTTGGAGAATTGATGTGAGAGAATAACCAGGAAATTTTGTTAAAAAAAAAAAAAAAGAAAAAAAAAAAGACCGAAGGGTACTTATCCCACCACATAATAAAACATTATATAAAGCAACAATAATTAAAATTGTGTGGCTGGTGACAGATGAGACACCCAGATAAGGGAACAGAAGAGAAATTCCAGAGATAGACCCAAGTCTATCTCAGCTGTCAGCGTATGGTAAAGTTGACATTTCAAC